GCCCAAGAGCCGGGTCTGCTTCCGGCAAGGTCCTCCGCCCACTCCACGCTCCAGGCTCTCCTGAGCCCTGGATAGAAACTGTCTCTCACCTCTACATGGGGGCAACTAGAGGGGCCATTGTGAAGAGTAATAAAGACATGCATCCCCTCCAGTGCTGGTAGTTGACTAGTCAGGAGGCAGAGATCAGGATGATCTTGGTTCAAGGCCAGCCTGGGCAGAAAAGTTTGCTGGACTCTATCAGTAAAAAGAACTGGAGGTGTGGTTTAGGAGGTAGAGAGCCAGCCCAGCAAGCAAGCTGAATAAGGACAAGGCCAGCTTCAAACCCCAGTACCGGGCTGTTCCTTTAACAGACAACAGGACACATATCCACAAAGTTGGCCCTTTGCTGGCCTGCCTGGGTCAGACACAGACTAAGTGAAGAACATTCTAGAATGAGAGCAATGCTGGCTTCCTGGGGGCACAGGAGACTGTGGTCTGCCCAGTGGGGTTTCCTGGCCATGACTGGAGGGGAGCTGGGCGGCTGCAGCTCACTGTGGACAGCATTTGAACATCAGGGGCCCCAGGGGGGCAAGGGGACCTGGACCCCGGGCCTGCGGGCTGTCCTGGTGACCCCGGTGACTGTGAGCGCCAGGCCAACGCCTGAGCGAGCAGGCTGCCCTCAGCCTGGGCCAGGCAGATGGTCGGCCGCCCACCCGCCCGCCCTCCCTGCCGGTCACTCACCCACTGATCGTCCTCCAGCGTGCCAGGGCTGCCTGGGCCCCGGCAGGAGTCTGCTCACCTTTTATAACCCGAAACGGGGCGTGGGGACGCCCCCAGACGCCACCTGCGCTCACTGGGCGGCACTGAACAGGCTTTGCTCTTTTATTTTTTTCTTTCCTTTACTTTTTTTCCCCTTAAATAAAAGCCCTCACCATCAGAGATGTGATTTGTTCCTTCCTGATTTCGTAATTTCATTTGAGCCAAGTGGTTTTAAAACACATTACCCTCTCTGCGCTGGCCTTGGGCAGATGCCATGGCCAAGTGACCGCGTCCTCTGGGCTTGGAGTGCCCTCCCCCCGCTACCCTCCCCCCCCGCAACCCCCAGCTCACACAGAAGAGGCCCTGCCCCACACCCCACCCCGCTCTGCTGCACCCCTGCCTTCTCTACCACCTCACGCAGGCGAACGGTGGCAGGTGACACCATGCCCACACCCTCCCTGCCCCTGGCCTCTCTCTGTCCCTCTCCTCCACCCACAGGGCCTTCCTGGGCTGCACACACTCTGTTCCCATCCTCATTCTCAACTAAAAATGGTTTGCGAGGTATTTTCAGAGGCTTTGTAATTAATGTTGGATCCCATAAACGTTTATTATTAGCTGAGTAGCACTGGCTCACACCTGACACTCTAGCTATTCAGGAGGCGGAGATTTGAGGATCGAGGTTCAACTTAAGCAGGAATGTCTTGAGACTCTTATCTCCAAGGAACCATCAAAAAGCCAGAACTAGAGCTGTGGCTCCAGTGGTAGGGCACCAGCTTTGAGTGGAAAAGCTAAGGGATAGCACCCAGGCTCTGAGTTCAAGCCCCAGTGTTAACACACACACACACACACACACACAAACAAACAAAAATACATGAACACAAGTGCACACGCACACACACATTTTTTAAATTATAAAACGAAGGGTTTACTTTTAGCATAACCAACCAATTTATTTCATAATGAAAGAACTTGCACTCAGTGGGGAGCAGGCGGCTACCACGAGCAGAGGCTGCGCTGTGCACCTGGCGCCCTGCCAGTCTCTGCGCAGCCGCAGCTGGCCATGCGGGAGGCACAGCTGCATGCATGCGCTGCTGTAAACAACTGCGGTGTCTGCCATTTCACGTGGGCCTGGGAGCCCTGGCCACTCACGCGGGGGCAGCACCACCGAGTACGCTGGGGTCACTTCTTAGCGGGCGAGGCCCGGCCGGCTGTGTGCCCCGGGTCTGCACCGCGTCGCCTTGCTGCCCCGTGTGACCTCCAGGTTTCTTCAGAAGAGCTTCCACCTTCAGAGACTGGTCTACTCTTTGCCTGCCTCTGGCGGGTCCTTCCCCACCCCCCAGGTCTGGGGCGGGACAGAGACAAGGGTGGGGTCCATCCAGGCTGCAGGCCAGTGTCCCTGAGCTTTCCACTCAAGGCTTTTCCTCTCTACCACCGGAGCCACAGCGCCACGTCTGGCGTTTTGGCAGTTCATTGGAGAGAAGAGTCTCACGGCCTTTCCTGCGTGCACTGGCTTTGAGCTGCGATCCTCAGACCTCAGCCTCCTGAGTAGCTGGGATTACAGGCGTGAGCCCCTGGTGTCTGTGAGCATTCCCCAGTACCTGGTCCCCTCTGACTCTGGGGAGGGGAGACCCAGGGCAAAAACGCCTCCCGTTTCCGGCCCGTTTGTTGTGTTTTTCTTCATCCATGAAGGGGTTTCAGTGCTTCTCATCAAGCAGTCATTTTTCCTATCAGGACAAATCTAGGCTCCCCAGAGACGAGGTTCAGACACACCGGGTTTCAAGTGTGCCCTCACACTGCCGTTGGGGAGAGTCTGTGTGTTCACTTCTGTGATGTGCTCCCCACACTCCCCGTCCTCCCGCCTCCTGCAGTCTGCTTGGTTGTGAAGGTTTCATTGACCTTGAACAAGAGCAGGTCTGTCCCCCACGCCTCGATCTCCAAGAGCGGTGCAGGCAAGATGGGGAGCAGGGCGCGGGCCGGGGAGCAGCTCGCCTGGGAGGAGGCTCAAGGAGAGCGATGGTGGACGGGCGAGCCCACGAAGGAGCCAGGGGGATGGGGCTGCGGAGGGGCCTGGCCTGTCCCCCGGGGTCTGGGGCTCTGCACCGCGGCTGCCGTGTCGGAAGGCCGTGGGAGGCGCCTGCTGAAGGCCCCGAGGGGAAGGGCGCTGCGGGCCGCGTCCCCTGTGCCCCAGGGCTGCGGCCTGGATTCCCTGGGTCCCGTGGGGAAAGCCCGCCACGGGGCTGGACGGAGCTGGAGGAGCCCTTGCTCCTCGTGGGAGGGAGCCCCAGGCTGGGGAGGAGGCCCAGCCAGCCTCAGATGGGCCGGGGACCCCACGCTTGGAGTGTGCAGCAGGTTTTGCAGTCTTAGCGCGGCCTTCACCCCGGCCCACACGCACGGGCCCGGCGCACGCAGGGCCAGGCGGCTCTCGGACGTGGGTCAGGTGTAGCCCAGCCCGCGTCCACCAGGAGCCCCCCACTGCAACTTGGTACGCACACGAGGCCATGTGCACACGTCACCAGCGACAGCGAGGAGTCACACTGGCCAAGGGCGGCCCGGTCCAGCCGAGGCGCTCTGCGGGAAGAGGGCGGACGTGCAGACGCACAGTGCCCGCCCATGGCCGGCCAGCGGGGTGAGCAGCGGCTGCGGGAGCCAGCGGAGGCCGTGAGCGGAGGCTGCGGGAGCTGCGCCGGGATTCCGGCCGAGATCTTGGACGTCTCACCTCCCAACGCCGGGGGACTACGCGTGGCTGGCATCCCACCTGACAGAGGCGCCGGCACGGGTAGAGTGACTTATGACAGCCCTGCCCCCCTCCCCCGAAAATACCAGTCCTGGTCCCACCTTCCGAAGACCAGAACCTTCCACCCAGCCAGTGCCACAACTCCAAGAGTTAATGGGACACAAATCCAGTTTCTAGAAAAATCCCTCCTTTCAGGAACAATCACCACCCCCAGGACTTCCCCAGTGGAAGTCCAAGGTCCTGGGACCCTCACACTAGCTGCCCACTCCCCGAGTCCACCTGCCTGCTGACCCCGAGCCTGCCCTCCGCCCCCCAGCCTGCCCTCCGCCCCCCAGCCTGCCCTCTGCCCCCCAGCCTGCCCTCTGCCGCCTCTGGCCTCCCCTGGCGTTGCGGCAGTGAACCTGCCCTTGCTGGGTCTCTGCCCTGTCCACCCTTGAATTCTTTCTCTGAGGGGACCAAGTCCTCTGGCGTGGCCTGGCTCCGGCTCCACGCCCAGGCTGTGGGGCTTTGCTGGCAGAGCCCGAGTGAAATGCATCTCCTTTTGCTTGTGCCCAGAAGAAATGAGATGCTCGGGGCTGGGGCCTGCGTGTTTATTAAGCCCAGCCTGGATGCGTGCAAGGTGCGAGGGTGCGGTACAAGGCTGCAGGAAGAGGCGGTGCTGGGGGGGTCACTGCGGTGCAGGCAGGCTGTGCGGGACTGCGCCCCATCAGCAACGCTGCTCCCGTGTTTTCAGGCAGGCTGTGCGGGACTGCGCCCCATCAGCAACGCTGCTCCCGTGTTTTCAGGGGCAGATCTGTAGACAAGGAAGTCTCTGTGCTGTGGGTGGCACTGCCGGGAGGTGGAGGAGGTTGGAGGTGGAGGAGGTTGGAGGTGGAGGAGGTTGGAGGTGGAGGAGGTTGGAGGTGGAGGAGGTTGGAGGTGGAGGAGGTTTGGAGATGGAGGAGGTTGGAGGTGGAGGAGGTTGGAGGTGGAGGAGGTTGGAGGTGGAGGAGGTTCGTGGTGGAGGAAGTTGGAGATGGAGGAGGTTTGGAGTAGGAGGTTTGGGAGGTGGTGGGCGTGTGGGAAGTGGTGGAGGTTTCAGGAGAAGTGGGCCTTTGTGGGCAGGTGCACTTTGGCGAGGTGGGCGCTGTACTGTCACAGCCCGTGGACCGTGGGGACTGAGAGCCGTGGGTGAGGCGTGGGGGTCAGTGGTCACTGGCAGCGTGACTAGTGTCCGCTCTCACCTGCCTGCCCTCCGCCCCATCAGGCTGTTCACGGGGCCGAAGCCTTAACTGAATGGGAGGTCCCAGGGGAAAGGGCTGCCGTGTGCAGCATTGTCCTGTGTCCCCAGGCCGGAGGCTGGCAGGCAGCCCTGGCTCCCCCCGGTGGCCCTGTGGAGCAGCCGAGGGTCTGCGAGGGGTCACATGACCTCCTCTGTGATCGTGGTGAGCAGCAGTCAGCCCGGAGGCCACACAGCCCAGTGGCCCGTGGAGGGGCCGCGTGGGACATGCGGACGCTGTCATCGGCCCTGCTCCCCTGCACCTCACCCTCAGGGCTGCTGGGCCATCACAGGTTTCTGCGGAACACAAACACACAGACGTGTGAGTGTGCCACACACAGGAATAGAATCATAGGCACACATGCACACCAAAAACATACAAACAGGAGTTCACACAGATGCACACACATACACATACAAGGGTGGATGCATGGTGTACACACAGACTTGCACATAGACACACACATGAGCACTTATGTATTACAGATGTGGGTGTACACACAGACATGAACATATGCCATGTACATGTGTATACATGCACACACACTTATGCATGTATGGATACATCTGTGACACACAGATACATGCATGACCTTGCATACAGACACAGCAGCACACAGACATGTCTGTGCAGGTGTGGAGATGGTACACACAGGCCAACACAATATACATGTGTGCACACAGACACACACCAGCACATAATGGTCACACACATGTGCACACACAAAACGTGTAGTGTGCAGATGGAGCACACTGGCCAACAGGTATACACGTGGGTACACAAACACATCCTATACACACAGGAACACATGATGCATCCCACTCGGACACAGGCATCAGATGCTGGTTGCTGCCTCTCTCCAGGCATTGGTCCGTCCCTTGGGAGTCTTGACTCACACTTGTCTGCCTCTGTCTCCCCAGCTATGAGGTTGGGTCAGACACAGGCTGGACTCTGTGCAGACAGAATCAGAAATCTCTCACACCCAAAGCTCTCCCTGGAGGAGGGAGGGATCTCGCTGGAAAGCGTGTGGGGTTTCATGTCCCCATAGACAGGCACGCACCCCCTTGTCGCTGTCCTTGTCGAGTATGGCATGCTCGGGCCGTGGGGACACAGGGAATCACTGGCTGTGGTAACTCTCCCTTCCCCATGTTCCCCATGACCATCCGGGGCTTTCTGCACGAACAAAGGCCACAGCACCCGGACAGCCTTATTCTGGCGGTCATGCATCAGAAGCTGTGGCTCAAGTGGTAGAGCTTCAGCGTGCAGTGAAGAGGCTAAAGGATAGCGCCCAGGCCCGGAGTTCAAGCCCTAATACTGACACCAAAAGGAAGGAAAGAAGGAAAAAGGGAAGGAAGGAAAGACGGAAGGAAGAGAGGAAGGAAGAGAGGAAGGAAGGAAAGGAGGGAAGAAAAGAAGGAAGGAAGGAAGGAGGGAGGAAGGGAGGGAAGAAGGGAGGAAGGAAGGAGGGAGGGAGGGAAGGAAGGAGGAAAGGAAGAAGGGAGGGAAAGAGGGACGGAGGGAAGGAGGGAAAGAGGGAAGAAGGAAGGAATGGAAGAAGGGAGGAAGGGAAGAAGATAGGAGGGAGGGAGGGAAGGAAGGAAAGAAAGGGAGGAAGGACCTTTGAGTGGTGGGTGGCGCACACCTGTAATTGCAGCCGAGAGAGGCTCAGGCAGGAGGGCTCTGAGTTCCAGGTCAGCCAGGGCTACCTGTTAGAATCCTGTCACAACCAACCCACCCACCAATCAAATGAGCAGCAAGAGAGAAGGCATTACCGCGAAGACCTGTCTGGCCTCCTTCCTCCCGTTGGGGTTCCTTTGGGTCAGGGAGCCGCGGGACAGGGACTTCCGATCAAAAGAGCCATTGCCTTTGCCAGGTGGGAAGAGGACAGAGGTGTTTTACCATCACACCACCCTCCTTCGGGGCTCGGCGTGGTGGCCATGGGCGGCACCCCGCCCCCACCCCGTTGGGGGTTTCGTGTCTGTGCCCAGCTCACTGCTGCCCGCGGCCGCAGGCCTCCTTCCACTCCTGCGGGCAGTGCTGCCCCCCTGGCCACACCGGGCCGCAGGGCGGGAACTGTGCCAGCATGGCTGACGCCCAAATCCAGCCAGAACCCCGGGGTAGCGGCACTGCCCTTGTGGGCTTCCCGCCACCCAGAATGCCTCGTGCGGGGTGCAGTGGCCACAGGGGCCCGGGTGCTCTTCAGAGCCAGGACCCGGGCGGAAGATGCAGGGCTCTCCTGCCCCCCACCCCCCAGCTGTCTCTCACCTGGGTTTTTAGGGCCAGGCTTCCGGGGAAGGAGGTGGGGCCGGGCTGCCCCCTGCAGGAAGAGAGCATGGCAGGCGTCACTAAGCTCACAACAGCAGACCGAGCCCTGCAGGGGCTCCCTGGTCCCCAGGCTCCGGTTAGCCAGGCCTATGGCACCACCCGAACCCTGAGCAGTACCTGCTGCTCACGTGTTGGGCTGCTCCGTGTTGGGGAGATGGGGAGATGCCGGCTTTGGGCAGTGTGCAGAAAGAGCACAAGTTTGCAGCCCCACGGGTCTGGGCTCCCACCTTGTGCTTCTCCCTTATAACACCCTCTGTCCTTACCACCAGCTTACTGTCCCCTGTGAATCTGCCTCTGTCCAATGGCTGCATGGGGTTGGTGGGAGGTAATGGGAGGCGGTGGGAGATGATGGTCCCCCCCCCCCCGCCCCATCCTGGTGTCTGCTCTGCCCTGGCCCTGCTGTCCGGTCTCGTTCAGCACCGCGGGCTCCTCAGGGTGGGGCTTGTACAGGGCTTCCCTCCATGGGAGGGGCACACTGGATGAGCGGATCTGGGTGGGCAGTGCCCAGGTCTCGGCCACTGGGGCTCCGTCGGGCAGTGTGGCTCCTGCACCCTTGCCCTGGTGTGTGTGCGTGCGCTGCTGGGCCTGTGCTGTGCCACGTGGGCACGGGCCGTGGGCAGGCCCGGGACAGAGGCATGTCCTCCCAACAAACCCGGAGGACAAGCCAGACTGCTTCCCCCCATGCCCCCATCTCTGAGTGTTCTCCAGGGTGCCTGTGTACCAGGCCGGGCTCCTGCCCACGGCCAGCTCCTGAGTCTCTCGGACGGAGGACAGTGGGGAAGCCGGGCTGCTCAGGGAGCAGGAAGGCCCAGGGGCTGATTGGTGCTGAGGAGGGACAAATGTCCCTTCATCCACTAGGTTCTTGGGAAATGCAGACCCTTGTGTCTGCACCTCCCAGGAAGCCGCCCACGGGGTCACTGAGTGCTGAGAGAGCAGGCCTCAGCCCCCGACATGGGGACCCCGGCCCATGTGTGCCGGGCTGGTTGACCTTTGACTCTGTGTGGAGGGAGCAGCGTCACACACACCTGGACCTCGTCCGCAGGGTCATTCTGAGCCAGTGGACTCTTGCCAAGTTTCCCAGCGACTCGAGGAAGAAAGATCTAGAAGCCAAGGAAGAAATGCGTGTTGTGACGGCTACGTTGACTATAGCAAGCTGTGGGCACAAGTCGGGCTTGCCTGGAGGACGGAGGATGGACATTTTCTTGGTCAAGATTGCAAGGTGAGCAGAGCCGTCACCCGGCTCCAAACACACTGATGCCGGGCTCGGGGCCGGGCCCCGGGCTTGGGAAAGTACCTTGCAATTCCAGATGAACAATGAGTACTTGGTAGTGTAGGCAGGCTGTAATGGCCACAGGGAAGAAACTGATAAGAGGGTATCACAGGAGCCGGACATGCCGGACGCTCCCTGACCCCTCCCTGGGGTCCTTACGATCCCCTCACTCTCCCACCACCTCTCTTCCTCGGCCCGTTTCTGGGGGAAGCTTCCTGGTAGCTTGGGCGGGTGCCAGCTTCGATCCTCACCAGGCGGGCAGGCCCGTGCCTTTCTGCCTCTCTCCTACCCTCAGTGGCTTCTCTTGTGAGTTTTAGATTCAGGGGACCAGGAGTTCAGACTGGCCTTGAACTCACGGTTCTCTTCTCTCAACCTCCCAAGTGTAGGATTATAAACCCGAACCACCAGGCCTGGCAAAAGTAACATCCATCTTAAAATGTGTTGAGTCTCCTGATTTGGTGCTGGATTTTAAACCATTTTCCCCATTCAGGCTGCTTCTTTTGGCTTTTCAAACGTGTTTTAAATTCTGCAGGCAGCCGGGAGCCGGTTGCTCTCACCTGTCAACCTAGCTACGCAGGAGGCTGAGGGGGAAAGGCCGTGGCTTCACGTCAGCCTGGGCAGGGAACTTCGACAAGACTCTGACCTCCAATGAATGCCCCAAAAGCCAGAGGAGAGACGTGGCTCAGGTGGTAGAGCACCAGCCTTGAGTGATATAGTTAAGGCACAATGACAGGCCCTGAGTTTAAGTTGGAATCCTGGCATGAAAAAAATATCCAGGCAGAGTCTGGGGTTTCTCACAAGGAGTTTCCTCCTTTGGAACCATCCATATCATCTCTACACAGGAAGCAAGGAAGCCTCAGCACGGACACAGCTTACGGAGGGGCCATCGGAAGCAGAGGGCAGCCACAGGGCAGCGGGAAGCTGCCCGGCCTCCGCAGCACCTGGCGAGGCCCCAGGAGACCCCAGAGCACAGCCGCCATGGGCCTCCACTCACCGGGAGGCTGGATTTCCTCCGGGGCTTTCCTGAGGGCTTCACCGTGAGCCCCACAGCCCTCAGAGCTGCGATCCGGGACTCGATGTCTGAAACCTGCAGAGACAGACAGACAGACAGACAGTCAGACAGTCAGTCAGGCAATGAGACAGATGCCAGGGCTCAATGTCACAAACCTGGAGAGATGCAGACAGACAGACAGACTGAGTCAGACAGACAGATAGACAGTCAGAATGGCAGTGTTGGATAGATGCCAGAGCTTGATGTCCCAAACCTGAAGAGATGCAGACAGACAGTCTGTCAGAGAGACAGACAGACAGACAGGTGCCAGGACTCAATGTCTGAAACCTGGAGAGACACAGGCAGACAGATAGATGCCAAGACTTGATGTCCCAAACCTGGAGAGATACAGGCAGGCAGACAGACAGACAAACACCAGTCAGTGACGGGTTGGAAGGAGCAGCCCCCACCCCCCGGTTGGCTGGTGCAGCAGAGTTTGCATGGGGCTCCCGTGAAGGTGATGTCCCCCAACCCCTTGTGGGGTTCTGTGTGCTTTCTGGGAAGTCTGGATCCCACAGGGTGCTGGGGAAAGACAGCCTCTCCTCCTATAGAGGACAGGAGAAGCTTCTAGAAACATCACCCTACCACGTTTCTTTTTTGTGGTAATCAGGATAGATCCCAGGGCCTCACACATGCCAAGCCTGTCCTCTATGCCCTCTACCACTGAGCCACAGCGCCAGTCCCTCCCCTGACTTTCCTCTGAGCCCCCAGAGTTCTCTAGCAATTACCTTCCTCTGGAACCTGCCTCTTTCATTCCTTGCGTGCTTCAGGATTTCACTGCTGATCTTTGAACACACCAAGCCCGACCCTATCCCAGGACCTTTGCATATGTTATTCTGTCCGCCTGTGTTCTTGTTCCCCTCAATTTTCTGTGTGGGTGCTCCTCCCGTCTCCTCTGCTCATTCACCCTGCAGGTTGTGGGGTTCCCCCTACTCATTGCCTTCATAGCCCTCTTGATGAATGCTGGTGCCCGCTTGTTCCTAAGAATGAAAGCATCGTGGAGCAGCTGGCCTGGGTGCTCACCGGCATCCTCGGGCCCTCACGGCCATGCTGGGACGGGGAGTCAGCCTCTCACGGCCGTGCTGGGATGGGGGTCACCTCCCTGGCCGTGCCGTGCCTCACTGGGCACAGGCGGGCACCGCTGGGGCCGGTGCGGGCGGCCTGCAGCCGGGGCACCGTCCGCTTTCCGCAGCGCTCCAGTGGGGAGAGCAGCGCAGGCCCAGTCACCCTGTGCCACTCGGGCCTGGGCCTGGTCCAGGCCTGCGTCCAGCGCGGAGCAGCAGGGCCGAACTAACATCTCAGCCACCCCCAGCTCCTGGTCACCGGACGGACAGCATCCAGAATGTTCTCTCACCTGCCCCTCTCAAGCACAGGGCAGGGGGAGGATGGGTCCTGTGGGGACCGCCAAGCCCATGCTCTGTCCCCCTGGCCTCTGGGGGGTGCTATCAGCACTGCCCGGCCGCGTGGCTGGCGCTGGCCCCCTTGGGGAACCCGTACCCCCACCCCAGGCCTTGGAGCTACCTCGCTCTCGGCCTGCTCGACTTCGGACGCCGTCTTGGCCACTCTCTCCTCCAGCTCAGACAGCTCCTCGTCCGTGGTCCTGCTGGGTGGGACAGCGTCCCAAGGGGCCTGGGGGCTTCTCCGCAGGTCTGGGAGACCTGCCGTTGGCCACACCTGAGGGTGGACGCTGGTCACCTCGCAGTCAGCGCAGGGCCTGCTGGTCTCTGAGCCCCAAGCGCCCCTCCTTGGTCCTCCCTCCCTCTCCCTCCCTCCCTCTCCCTCCCTCCCTCCTCTTCTCCCTCCCTTCTTTCTTTTTTCCTTTCTGCAGTACTGGGGTTTGAACAGAGGGCCTGTATTTTTTCTTTTTTCTTCTCTGCTGCTTAGGATCGAGATACGCTCTGTGAACCTTCCTGCCCAGGCTGGCCTTGAACTACAGTCCATCCATTCTCAGCCGCTCATGGTCAAGCACGGCCTGAGTCATGAGAGCCTGGCTGCAGTCCACTCTTAGCGGCCGACCTCCGGGCAGCCGGCCATCGGCCTTGCATAGGGCTGCCCGGCTGCTCACGCAGGACCGTCCATCACGTCCATCACGCCCGGCCTCTGGGCCTGGTCACTCACCTCCGGGGCCGCGCTGGGCAGGACGCCAGCTGGACCGGCCTCCGCCTCCCGGCCTTCCTCTTCCTCTTCCTCTGTGGAGTTCCCCTGGTCACTGATGTTGGAGGTCAGTTCCTCCAGCCTCCTTCTCAGGGCCTCCTCCTCCATGTCGGCCTCCGAGTGTGTTCCGGTGGCCAGATGCTAAGCAGAGCAGACGGGGTGCTGAGGGGTGGCCACGGGAGGGTGGGGGGACGGGGGGCGGGGGTACGGGAGGATGGGGGATGGGGGGATGGGGGGACGGGGGGATGGGGGGACGGCAGCCGCCCCACGCTCTGCTCCGGGCCCGCGGGAGCGCGGTCCCGCCTCCTCTCCATGTGAGCCCAAGGACGCGGCCCTTCACCAAGGGCTTCGCGCCTTGTTCCAGGATCCCTGTGTCACCTCTGCCCGTCTTCCCCACAACCATTCCTGCAGGCTTGGCCTTCCGAAGGTGCCGGGGCCTGTCTGTCTGCCACCATCTCCACAGCTCTGCCTGGGGCCTGTCTGTCTGCCACCATCTCCACAGCTCTGCCTGGCTCACCTGCCCCCTGCTGCAGCCCGGCCAGCACAGTGGCCTCCCAACTGCCCGCCTCACTTCTGTCCCTGCACCTATAGCCTTCCCACCATCACCCCCTCCTCCACCCCATGTCACCCTCCCAGAGAAGCGTGGGTCCAGAACCCCCACTGCCCCTGCTGTGTGAGCAAACTCAGCCCCGACTTCCTGCGCCAATGCCACCCAGAGGCCAGGGCTTTGGGGTCCGTTGGGATCAGAGGCAGTTGTGAGGGTTGGTGGGCTCCCAAAGCGGAAGAAGGGCTGGGGGTCCTGGTACACAGGAGGCTGAGGCTGGGAGGTCTCGAGTTCAAGGTCCTTCTGAGCTACACGGTATTAGGATTTCAAAAGGAGGAGGAGGAAGAAGAGGATGGGGAGAGGAAGAGGAGGAGGAGGAAGAGGGGAAGAGGAGGAGGAGGAGACCAAGAGGAGGAAGAGGATGGGGAGAGGAGGAGGAGGGGAGGAGAGGGAGGATGGGGAGAGGAGGAAGAGGAGGGGAGGGAGAGGATGGAGAGGGGAGGAGGAGGGGAGGAGGAGGAGGAAGAGGATGGGGAGAAGAGGAGGAGGCAGTGTGCGCGGGTGAGTTTGCTCTTCCCTGCTACGGATGTTCTGCTGTGTTCCGGCACAGCCCGCGGCCCTCGCCATGCTGGCCCGGACTCTCTGGTCTCCAGAACGGCAGGGAGCAATTCCTTATTTTTTTATTATTCTTTTTGTTGGTCGTGGGGCCTGAACTCTGGGCCTGGGCGCTGTCCCTCAGCTCTTCAGCTCAAGGCTAGTACTCTACCACTTGAGCCACAGCACCACTTCTGGCTTTTTCTACTTCTGTGGTGCTGAGGAATCGAACCCAGGACCTTCATGCATGCAAGGCAAGTACCCTACCACTGAGCCACCTTCCCAGCCCAAGCTCAGGGATGGTGCCTAGGCCCTGAGTTCAAGCCCTGGACTGGCACACACAGAGAATACAGCCTTGAAGACAGAGAGCACTTTACCCACCCATCCTCAGCTGGTCCCACACAGCCGGTGGCTGGGTCTGGCCGCCGCCTCCTCCTCACCCCTCCCTTGGGGGTCAGGCATCCACACTGCTCGGGAGAGCCGAGCGCAGGAAGTTACTCACGGCCCCTGCCCCGCTCACCCACCGGCATCTGATCAATTTCCTCTCTGAATGAACCTATTAGCTATTAGGTCAGCACGGCCCGCACCTGGGCCTCTCAGCAGGACACGAGGAGGCTGATTAGATTGGGCTGATGGGGGAGCACCCGGCATTGTCTGGGGTCTCTTTTATGGGAGTCCTCTTTCCTGGTAAGGCCCAGAAATGGGAATCCTTCAGAGCCTGTGGTGCCAGCCTGCAATGCCAGCCTCCAGAACCACAGTGGAGCAAAGCTCTGCTCTTTGTAAACTACCAGGGAACAGTTCAAGTAGCACAGTTGGGCCATGATCTGACTATAAGCACGTGGTACCTGAAGCCCTCACCCAGGAGGCGCCGGGGCCCCTTCCCAGTGTGGCCAGGCCCCACACTGTGGGTTCCACCAGGCTCCTCCCAGCTCTGATTTCTCGTTCCCTTTCTGGTTCTTTCCTGCCTGAAGTCCTCGGGGCTCTGGCTATGGGGTGGCCCTGGCTTGGCCGGGAGGAAGGGGCTCACGTGTGGGGTGGGGGAGGAACGCTCTGGCTCTCTGAGCTCCGTGCAGAGTCCGGCCCGGGCTGGGAACCTCTGGTCACGGCCTCCACGGCCAGAGCTGCAGCCCTGCGCTCTCTGCCAGCAGGGGGAGTTACCTGGGCTGCGGGAGGCGGGACGGCCATGCTCTCCAGGTGTGTGAGCAGCTGTTCCACGGCGGACACGCGCTTGCTCAGCTCAGAGATCTGCAGCAGAGACAGAGGAACGGTGGCCTTCGGCCGGGACGCGGCGCCCACCTCCGAGGCCCATCCCACCCGGCCACCGCCTGCCTCGCGGCTGGGGCTCGCCGTGAAACCTCTCCTCCTTTCTTTCCTTTCAAAAAATTTTGGCAGTGCTGGGGCTTGAACTCAGGGCCTACACTTTCACCTGGCTTTTTAAACTCAAGGCTGGAACTCTATCCCTTGAACCACAGCTCCACTTCCGGCTTTTTGCTGGTTCTTTGGAGATAAGCGTCTCCCAGATGGTCCTGCTCAGGCTGGTTTTGAACCTCCATCCTCAGATCTCAGCCTTGTGAGTAGCTAGGATGTCAGGTGTGAGCCGTGGATGCCTGCCTGACATATCTGACATATCCCTGACGTATCTGACCTCACCAAGCAGAACCTGGGAACGGAACAAAGGCAGAAGGCGATGGTTGTGGGGTGGGGGGGAGGAGACAGCGGTGAGCCGAGAGGTTGAGCCACATGGAGTGGCCAGGTTCTAGAGGTGGTGACCTGATCATCGTGCGGGGCAGCCATGGTCACTGTGAGTCTGATCTGCAGAGCCAGGCGTGAATTAAGCCGGTGACCAAGCCAGGGTGCTGAGCTAGTGAGCGCCGGGGTCAGATGACCTCAGCGGCCAGAGCATCTCATCCTGAGTCACCAGACCCCCGGCCCCGCCAGCCTCTCAACTCCCGGGCGGAGATGGAAAAATCAATGCCTCTTAGCGTGCTTTCTCCTGCCAGGCGCATCTTTCCCTGAATTATTGAATTTTCGTCTCGCCGGGCCCTCAGAGAGGGAAATGACGCCGCGGAGCGCCAGACACTGCGCAGCTGGGCAGGTAATTAGTTCCATCTCCACGGTGCTGGGTGAGAGGAGGTGTACGCTGGAAATGTCCAGCCCAGCGTGGCGGTCCTGGGCCGGCCTTGAGCGGCAGCTGGGGTGCGGGCCACACGGCTCTGGTCCATTTGGGGTGATCAATACCCGGGAGCACTCGGCGGGGGCCTCTGGGCCCGGCAGACGGGGCGCACACAGGGACTTGGGGTAGGAGGGGAGCTTCCCCTCCCCCGTCAGTGCCCACTGAAATGCCGCATTCAGCCGGAGGCCAGGGAGGACAGCCCCCCAGGAGAAGCTGGTTGGGGGGTCTCATCTGGGTCTAGAAGGAGGCGGGGAGCTGGGGCTGGAGGTGGAGGAGGCTGTGTAAGGTCCAGGGGTGGAAGGCACTGGCAAGCTGGCTCAGTGGGCCTCCGTCCTGCCCTGCCACGAGGCCCTGGCCGTGGGAACGGGGACAGCAGGCCAGCCCGGGCACGGGCCACAGTGCAACCCTGGCTTCTGTCTGGTGTCTATCAAGTCAGTCAAATCCAGAGTAGCTTCTTGGGGCCTCTGCAAAGGAAAACCCAAGCAGCTTCATTCTCTCTGGGACACGCCAGGAGATGTGGACATGCCTTTAATCCTAGCCATCACGGGGAAGAGAGTTCCAGACCAGCCTTGGGTTAGCAAGACCCTGTCTTATAAAACCAAGGGTTGGGTTGTCACTTGGTGGTAGAGCATTTGCCTAATGTGTGTGAGGCCTTGGCTTCCAGCCTGGGAAGAAAACAAGCGAGAGGGGCTTCTCCCTGTCCCCCTGCTTCTCACTTCTTTCAGAATTTTCTTTTCTTGCCCAGTGCTGGTGGCTCACATCTGTCATCCTAGCTACTCAGGAGGCTGAGATCTGAGGTTCATGGTTCGAAGCCAGCTTGGGCAGGTAAGTCCATGAGTCTCATCTCCAATTACCTAGCAAGAAGTCAAAAGTGGAGCTGTGGCTCAAGCCTCTGGAGCAGAAAAGTCTAGTGAAAATGAAAAGCCTGAGGGTGGGGGGGGGAGGGTGAGGGGAAGAGGACGGACCATGAGCACCTAGCTTGCAGTCTGGATGTAACAAGACTGGCATTTGCAGTTCACAAATGGAATACAGACCTGGTGTGGGTGTTCACAGGCCGTTCTAATCTGAAGATGATGAGGCCAGCCAGCGCTTCGGGGTTGGCCTGGCCCAGCCAGCTTGTGGCCGGGGAGGGCCAGAGGGAGGGCCTGGGCTGCTCCTCTCCCACCTCCTGTTCCAGCTTGTGGAAGCGGCCCTTACGCCATGGCCTGCACTGTCCTTGGCACGACCAGAGCCCTGGCCCTGGCCCCAAGGACATGGCTGTGATCCTGGGTTTGGGGACAGTGGTCTGATGGGAGAGGCCATCCAGGATGCTGCTGCCCCTCAGGCCACCAGCTCTCCTCACATATAGACCCCTGGCCAATGGGGGGGGGTTGAAGGAAATAAAAGGCACTGGGAATAACTGTGGAGAACATCCAGGAAGTAGCTGGGGAATCACTCCGAGGAGGCATACGAGTAGTTCGCATCCTCCAGGCTGCCCAAAGCCCCCCTTTTCCAGGCTGAGTAACAGTCCATATGCATTTCATATCTGTTCCTTGTGGACGGACTCGGGGTTTGTAGCCCCGTTTTAGCCATTGTGAATCGTGGCTACAATTCTCTGCTTTCAATTCTTTGGGGTTATCCTCAGGAGTGTGTGTGTGTGTAAACTGGTCCTGGCTCGAATTCAGTAGTGTCTGGCCACTGCCCCTGAGCTATTTTGCTCAATGCCACTTGAAACACAGTTCCCCAACGTTTTGGTGCTTAACTGGAAATAGGAGTCTCATGGAATTTCCTTCCCAGGCTGGCTTTGAACCGTGATCCTCAGATCTCAATCTCCGGAGTAGCTGGGCTTACAGGCGTGAGCCACTGGTGATGGATTACATTTTATTTTTTAAAGACAGGGTCTCCATATGTGGCCACGGCTGGCCTTAAACTTGAGATCCTCCTGCCTCAGCCTCCTGGGTGCTTGAATTACAGGCATGTGCCATCACAGCTGGCTTATTTGTAATTTGTTTTGGAGAACTAAAAGATCAACTTCATGGTATGTGAATTCACTTTCAGTAAACGACACATGTTTTCATGAGATAGCTTCCTGAAATGGGCAATGTTATAGCTCCAAAGCACGGGAAGCTTTGCTTTTTCCTGACGTGGCTCGGGAAGCAGGGAGATGGATTCCTGAGTCCCGTTACCTGACTTGCCGTGGCAGAGCGGTCTCTCCGCTTGGAATTCTGGGAGGCGGCCCTGTGAGCCTGGCTGCTGTCTTCATCCGACGTGTCCACATCAGCCAGGTACCGCGAGGGGAGCCGCCCCTTCTCTGAGGCACGAGTCCCTTAGGAGGAAGAGAGGCTTGAGAGACTGTGCACACAAACCTGAGATGCGTTCTCTTCTGAGGGCAGCTCGGAGCAGGTGAAGCTGTGTCTGGGCTGAGCAGATTCCTGCAGCCCCACTGCCAGCCTCGAGGTGGGGCTTAGCACGTGCGCAGGGCAAACCTGAAGTCAGAACTACGAGAAACCCCGAAGTCCCAGTGTGTGAGGACGGAGGGGCTGGGACACTCCCATGAGGGGGGGTGATTTGGAAGTCTGTCCACTGCCGTGCTTACTCAGTGATTTGCCCTGCTCTGCCCTGCCTTTCTCTCTCTCTCTCTCTCTCTCTCTCTCCTGGTCCTAGGGCTTGAATTCAGGGCCTGGGCACTGTCCCTTAGCTTTCCCACTCAAGGCTGGCACTCTACCACTTAAGCCACAGCTCCATTTCTGGATTTTTGGTAATTAATTGGAATAAGAATCACATGGACTTTCCTGCTTTGGCTGGCTTTGAAATGTGACTGTCAGATCTCAGCCTCCTGAGTAGCTAGGATTGCAGGGGTGAGCCACTGGTGTCTGGCTCAGTTTTTTTTTTTTCACTTTAGACCCATGATTCATAACCTCCATGTTGGATTGTGCTTTTCCCTGGGTCTTAGGGGAAGTAGGCGCATGCCCCCTCCCTCCTACCCCCCTCCCCCCCCCCGCCATATCCTCATCCTCACCCAAATTACTGTCTGGGCTTCTACTTGGCTGGGATGGCACCACCCAGTGCCGCCTGCCAGGGGGCACCCAGATTCCCATGGGAATGGATGGCCTGGGTTCCAGTGAGAACATGGCCCCCTTGACACAGCCCGGGGCCCTGCAGAGAACACAGACTCCCCCTCCCCCCCACAACCCCAAGGAGACTACACTCAAGTCACTAAGCCTCACGATTCAGCAGGCAGCAGCCGTTAAGGCGCAGCCCGGGCAGGAAAGCCCCTGAGACTCTTCTACAATGAACTACTGAAAGGCTGGAAGTGGAGCTGTGGCCTTGAGCAGAAAAGCTCAGGGATAGCATGCAGGCCCTGAGCTCAAGCCCCAGGACTGGCATAAAATCAGAAGAAGACACTTCGGGCCAACCTCACACGCGTGTGCTCTCTGGGCACCGCCCCTCACACGCGTGTGCTCTCTGGGCACCGCCCCTCACACGCGTGTGCTCGCTGGGCACCGCCCCTCACACGCGTGTGCTCGCTGGGCACCGCCCCTCACACGCGTGTGCTCGCTGGGCACCACCCCTCACACGCGTGTGCTCGCTGGGCACCGCCCCTCACACGCGTGTGCTCGCTGGGCACCGCCCCTCACACGCGTGTGCTCGCTGGGCACCGCCCCTCACACGTGTGTGCTCGCTGGGCACCGCCCCTCACACGCCTCATTCTCTCTCTGCCTCTTCCTGGCACCCTTGCAGCCATGGAGGGGACACGAGGCCCTGCAGGCTGTCAGCACTTCTGCACTGGGGGGGAGGGAGAACCCCTCCTTCTCAAAGCCCCCAGGGTCTGTGAGGACCATGAGGTCTTGGTCCTCAGGTCACAGGGTACGGGGCGTGGGGTCTCCCGCGCCCTGGCTACCCGTGGTGCTCAGGCGCCGCTGGGAAGGCCGCCCAGCACTGAGATCTGACCTGCCAGGCTGCCGTAGGTGCCCGCGCTTGCACAGGCTCCCTGATGCCGGGCAGAGGCAGAGAGCCAGAATTTCATTTTGGACGCAATCATTAGATGGAGCCAACTGTTTCTCCTATTTCTGGACCTCTGGTCTGCGGTGGGTGCTTAGGCCTGTGCTGTCAATCACCACGAGCCGTCAACCAATCGCCGTGTGCGGTCGATCACCACGCGCAGCCTTGCCTGGCATTGCGTGACCAGGGATCTCAGCATGTCCCTCCCCCCCCCAGCAGCAGGGATGGGGGAGGGGTGCAGCAGGGATGGGGGAGGGGTGCAGCAGGGATGGGGGAGGGGTGCAGCAGGGATGGGGGAGGGGTGCAGTAGGGATGGGGGAGGGGTGTGCAGCTGCTTTGACTTCATTTCTGAGCGTCGCACCAGCTCGCTGTTCAGGCAGCCAGTGTGTCTCCAGCCAGCAGGCTTCGGGGTGGGCTGGGGTGGGCTGGGGGTCCCCGCCCCACCGAGGGCACCCACCGGGCATGCCAGCGGTCCCCTGGGCTGTCCTGTGGGCGTCTCCAGGTGGGCACGGCTCAGCAAGCGCCTCCACCCGGGAAGGTTCCAGGCTGTCCAGAAGCTCCTGTGGCTGCGGGTGTCCGCCGGGGTCCCCCGAGTCCACCTCCTCCAGCACCTCTGCCTCCTGGGAGGCGGCGTCCCCCACGCAGGGCTCTCCTGACAGGGACTGGACACGGGGCGGTCAGCCGGGAGCCTCGTGGGCACTGGGCTTCCTGCCCGAGCTCTCTGGGGCTCGGACTCCCCCAGAGACCATTGCTGTGAGGTCTCGGGCTGGGAGCTGTTTGGGGGGGTGTTTGTGCTGTTATTATAGTGACCCTGGAAGGTCGGAGGGTGGGCTGACGGCGATTTTGGGGGTCTCAGCCCTGTGCTGGGTGTGGGGACCTGGGGGGCTCCACTTGCAGTGGCCGCGGGGCGCAGGGCCTGTGTCCCATGTGTCCCCTGTTTCCTGGGCCTCTGTCTGCCTGGTGCGGCCTCAGGCTTTCGCCTGGCCTGCCCCCCACCCCAAAGTCTCGGGGTGAGCCTTGGATGGGTGAGAAGGTTCCGGTCTTCTGTCCCCACTTCCTTCCCCAGGCCCTTGAGGCCACTGACCCGCAGGCTGTGTGGCTCGGCAGAGGCCCAGGACAGGCCCGGGGCATGGCCGCAGGGCTGGGTGGTGTCCGAGTCCTCCTCACAGTCCAGGTCGTGGAAGGACAGCAGGCGCCTTTGCTGTGCGGTGTGAGATGAGGAGGACTGGAGGCCGAGCAGCCTGGCCGGGAGACCGGCCTCCCCACTGGCCCTCCTCTACCAGCCTCCCCCTCCCCACCTCAGCCTCATCCACCAGCCTCCCTCTCCCCGCTGACCTCCTCCCTCCACCAGCCTCCCCCGCCAGCCTCCCTGTCCCCACCCAGCCTCGTCTACCAGCCTCCCCCTCCCCACCTTGGCCTCCTCTACCCGTCTCCCCATCCCCACCTTGGCCTCCTCCACCAGCCTCCCCGTCCCCACCTCAGACTCCTCCACCAGCCTCCCTGTCTCTACCCAGCCTCCTCCCTCCACCAGCCTCCACCTCCCCACCTTGGCCTCCTCTACTTCTCCCCCTCCCCACCCAGCCTCGTCCACCAGCCCCCACTCCCCACCTAGGCCTCCTCCACCAGCCTCCACCTCCCCACCTTGACCTCCTCTACTTCTCCCCCTCCCCACCTCAGCCTCCTCCACCAGCCTCCCTGTCCCCCCTTGGCCTCCTCCACCAGCCTCCACCGCTACACTAAAACCAAGCCAGGGTGAGCCCTCAGGGGTGAGGGGTCCACCTGCCCCAGGAGACTGCTGTCCCCTAAGTCACAGCTGAGCTTGGAGGGGTGTGGCTGGCAGCCATGGGCGCTGCCTGGGCAGTGGGTGCTGTGGGGCCACGAGGCGCTGGCTTTGGGGTGCACAGGCAGGGTCCCCCGCTGCTGTTCTTCAACTAGAGCAGGGTTACTCTGAAATCCCTCCCTCCCTACGGCTAAGCTCGCCCCTCACACCGATTCCCGTGGGGCATTGCGGGCAGGCGCATTCTGGGAGCTGAGCAAAGGACTCCATTCAGATCACGTGCAATGACGCCCGTGGTTCCCACGGCCCAGTCACTCCTAGAGAATCCGCGCTGCCTGCCCTCCAGCTGGCACCGTGGCGTGACCCTGCCCCGCACCAGGGGCCACCCAGCGGTCTCCACCCCCCAAACAAATCAAAACACATGGCGGTAAAGAACAAGAAAGGCTGTGGCTGGCGGTCAAGGTCCACAGCTTCCTGCGGCTGTCCTGTGAGCGCCGCCTGCACAGCGGGGCGCGGGCTGGCGCCGGCTGCCCAGACACCGTGTCCACGGGCCGGGCCTCCCAGCACTGCCCGGACACCGTGTCCACGGGCCGGGCCTCCCAGCGCTGCCCGGACACCGTGTCCACGGGCCGGGCCTCCCAGCGCAGCCCACCCATGGCCTGTTCCCAGCTTCTGAGGGACACCTCCGCTCCCATTCTCTTGGCCTGGGGGGGGGGGGCGCTGTCTGCGCTGGGCTGGGGGAAGCAGCGGCCATGGAGGCTGGCCCTGGGGGTGGCAGTGGAGACCCGGTGGGGTCTGGAGGAGGCGAGGCTGCCTGGGAGGGGCTGGTGCCTGGGCAGGACTTACTCTGCTGCCAAGAGCTGGGGCCTGGGCCTCCATGTCCAGTTGTCCCTCCTCGTCTGTCTGTTCGCTGTCCCCACTTCCCTCTCCAGGACATGGCTCAGGCTCGCCTGAAACAGACAGCTTTATGTCTCCACCCAGGAAAGCCAGACCCGAAGGAAGCCATCCATCTGACCATCCGTTCACCCACCACCTCCCCATCCCTCCCTCCTGCCCGCTCTCCTTCCCTCCCTCCCTCCCTCCCTCCCTCCTTCTACTCACCCACTTGCCCATCTATCCATCCACCCATCTAACCACTCACCTGCCCACCTGCCTCCTGCCTGCTCTCTCCTGCTCCCCCTCACGCCCACTTCTTCCTTATTCATATCCAGCCAGTCAGCCCAGCTCCCACCAACTTCATCCACTGCAGAGAAGGGCCACGGCTGGCCCCCACGGCCGATCCGAACATCACTTAGAGAATCTGTCCCCAGAATCCACCCTGAGGTAGGAATTCTGCCTGCGTGCAGGGAGGGCAGGAGGGGCGGAGGCGGGCCTGTTGGGGTGACAGGGCAGTGGGGCGCCTCAAGTTCTCTGGGATCCTTCCAGCTATGGCTTGGGACAAGGCTTTGAGCCATGCTGATCACCTGTCTGGTCCATCCGTGCTAAACAAAACAAGAGCCACGGAAGCATCTTCCATGGTCCACGCTCCTGACTTAGAATGGGGGCTCCTGACCTTACTTGGGGGGTAACACAAGAAAGAGCCATTGGAACACAAAGACCATCATTGTTGGCTGGCTCTGCCCTTTGTAGGGCAAACTAACTGTGTCTACAAGTACTACAGGAAGGCCCTCAGGGTCCCTACCCAGAGGCCCTGGAGGCAGAGCCTGCATGCCTGGGTGGAAGATCAGAGAAGACCAACCCATCACCAGCTGAAACAGGTCTGCACTGGACCTTGTCAGGTTTTGCAAGATTCACTTTAGACCCCCCCCCCCCCCCGCTTCCTAGCAGCACTATTTCCTTGTTCTGTATTCAGGATGCTCCAGCAGGAGTCAGAGCCCAGAGTGTGGGGTGAGGACAGAGACCACTGTGGCCCAGGCCGGGCTGGAAGTGGGACCTTGGCAGGGGCAGCGCTGTTGGTGGTTTGCTTTCCCTGATTCACAGCGCCACCTTCTGGCCACCAGTGGTGACCATTTTGAAACCCTAGGCCTGGTTGTGCCCAACTTTCTCCTCTCTGTCAACTGGCTACAAGGGACAAGGGACAGCACACAGGGGGGACACCGTGACTTAGAAGCTCCACATCTGCTCTGGGTGTTCCTAGACACGAAGCCTGGCAGGTACTACGCAGGTGCTCAGCCCTGCACAGGGTGTCACCTGGGCAGTTCGGGCTGCTCAGCCCGCGTGCGGGGCCAGGCCCAGTGCAGCAGCATGGATCCAGTCAGGGACGAGGCTGCTCCAGTATGGGACTGGAACTCAGGGCTGGTCTGGGTCGGTCCCTTAGCTTGTTTTTTTTTTTTTTGTTGTTGGTTGTGGGGCTTGAACTCTGGGCCTGGCTCAGCTCTTCAGCTCCAACATGAGTGCCCTACCACTTGAGCTACAGCACCACTTCTGGTTTTCTGGTGGTTCATTGGAGATAAGAGTCTCATGGACGTTCCTGCCTGGGCTGGCTTTGAACCATGATCCTCAGATCTCAGCCTCCTGAGTAGCTAGGATTACAGGTGTGAGCCAGCAGTGCCCGGCTCCTCAGTTATTTTCTATGTAAAGTCTTATTTTATGCCTGGCCCACCTGACCTGTGATTTTTGAGCTTGCTATCATGTCCAGCCATTGGTTGAAATGGAGAGCATAGAACTTTATGCCTGGGCTGGCCTTGAACCAAGAACGCCAATCTACATCTACAGTGGTGAAGATTACACCATGTGCAGCTTAGCTCTCTTTCTTCTTCCTTCTCCTCCTCTTCTTCCTCCTCCTCCTCTTCTTCTTCCTCCTCCTCCTCCTCTTCTTCCTCCTCCTCCTCATATTCCTCCACCTCCTCTTCTTCCTCCTTCTTCTCCCCCTCCCTCTCTCTCCTATCAGTATACTAGTACTGAGCGGTTTGAACTCAGAGCCCTGACTGCTTGCTTCACCTACTTGCTCATGGCTCTGCTCAGCTGTTTTGGCCATGCCTCTAGCCCAGCTATTTGCCAGTTAAATTGGAGAACAGAGGCTGGTGGACTTTCTCGCCTGGGCTGGTTTTCAACCTTGACTCACCAATCTTAGCTTTCTAAGTAGCTAGGATTAAAGAGTGAGCCACCAGCGCCTGGTTCTTCCTCAGAAGCATCCAGGCCTCTAAGCTATTGGTGTAGGGGACGCCATGTATAGAGATTCCATTAGCAGCTGTGATAGGGAAAGCCAGCGTGAGTCCTCACCTTGATGTGAAGTTCTGGAAGAAACACAGCTTCAAATAGTAGGGATGCCAGCACCCAGTGGGAACTCTCAGGGGGTCAGAGAGAACCCGTGGGCCAGAGGTAACAGGCCTCAGACAGGACACAGGAAGCAAGAACAGACAGGCTGGAGGGACCCAGTGGCTCCCGCCTGTCATCCCAGCTACTCAGGAGGCTGAGATCTGAGGATCACAGTTCAAAGCCAGCCTGGGTAAGAAAGTCCCTGAGACTCTTTAATTAACCAGCAAAAAGCCAGAAGTGGAGTTGTGGATCAAGTGGTAGAGCATCAGCCTGAAGCAAAAAAGCGAGTGCAAGGCCCTGAGTTCAAGCCCCAGTACACACACGCACTCACACACACATTCACACTCGGACGCACGCATACACCACACACAGGAAAGAAAAAGAATGGATAGGTCAGTCCTCCCCCGTCCCTCCTCCCTGCCTCGGAGGTGTTAGCACACAGGAGTACCCCCCCCCCCACCGCAGTCGCCCCTGCTCACCTGGCCCCTGCCGCCGCCCGCAGAGGGACCGGATCACTTTGGCGCTGCCGAAGCGTTTGAAGCGGGCTCTCACGTGCTCGTAGTACCATCCCAGAGAGCCCATCTGCACCACCCTGCGTGGAGAGGAGCCGGGCCGGGGTGCTGCCAGGGGTGCCCAGGTGTGCCCCACGCTCCCCTGCCCGCCTCCTCCCCCGAGCCAGCCCCGCCCGAGTGAAGCCAGGGGCGGGGGGAGGGGGGAGGGGGGACAGCCGCGGGGCGGCCCGGCTCACCTCGCCAGGCGGCAGGGGCCGCAAAGCCAGCCCTGCGCCTCGGCCTGGGCCTGCCCGCAGCTCCCACAGGTGAAGAGGCCGCAGGCCTGGCACTGCCTCCGGCCGCTGGCGAGGAGCTGGAAGGGCTGCAGGCAGTGGGCACAGAGGCTCTCGTTCAGATGCGCCGTGTCGGACAGCAGCTCCCTCCTGGAGGCTTGCTTCCTGATCTTGTCCTTCAACTCCCTGTGGAAAACGGGAAAATAAACACAGAGCTGCCGGGCGCCAGTGGCTCCCGCCGGTCACCCTAGCTACTCAGGAGGCTGAGATCTGTGCATCCGGTTCAAAGCCAGCCCGCGGCAAGAAAGTCTGGAGACTCTTATCTCCAATTAACCACCCAAATGCCGGAAGTGGAACTGTGGTCCAAGTGGTAGAGCACTAGCCTTGAGCACAAAAACCGAGGGACAGAACCTAGACCTAGGGTTCAAGCCCCAGGACTCCACCCCTCCAGCCACACACGCACACTCACACACACACACACACACACGCACGCACACACACGCACACGCACACACACACACACTATGCAGATATATTGTGCATCAGGCTTTGAATGTGTGCATATATGAAATCAGACACACACACGCATACACGCACATATGTGCACACACACACACACACACACACACACTCGTCCTCTCTCCTCTGCAGGAATCTGTGACTCAGAGTTGGGCAGAAGCATCACAGCCACCCTGACCCACAGTGCCAACTCCATGCCACTCTCCCTCTCGGGGTGGGACCAATTCATCTCAACTCCGGTCCTGTGCTTCTCGGTGGACCAGTGTTGGAGGCTGGACTTGTAGGAACGAGCGGCAGTGCACTGGCCTTTCTGTGGCCTTTACAGCTGGGCCTGCGCGGGGTGGCAGGGCCCTGGGCCTGTCATAGGGTCACGGAGTCCCCAGGCAATGCCAGGTGACAGGCCCCGGGCTGTTCCTGCTGAGCAGGGTAGGGGTGGAGTGCTTGCTTTGGCTCCATTCCAGAGCAGTTACCCAGCACCCAGAAGTCCCAGGCAAACCAGCATTATTCTAGAATAACCAGTCTTGGACCACACATACACAGCATCCTGGTGAGCACCACACTGAACGGCTGGAAAATGTACCCCCGATAAAAATGAGTACGTTCCTTGCAGTGGGTCTCGGAGGGCGTCATCCACACAGAGTGTTTTTATTTTTGGAGGAGATATAGCATGAATCCATTCTTAGCGACCAAAGCAGGTGAGCGTGGTGGCAGTGTCTCCTGAGAGACCTTGACCCTCCTACCTAAGGCAGGTCTGACCTCTCTGCTGAGCAGCTGGGATTCCAGGTGTGTGCTGAAGTGCTTGGACTCCTCCACTCCTCCACCTATCCAACTGAAGTGGGAACTCTGGGAAAAGATGGTGTCCGAGGCAGCAAGTGGCTGATGGGGAGATCACAAGGCCCCAACCTATGCTTTAGTTTCTTTGCTCAAAGGGTGGGATGGAATGGAGGGGTGGGTGCAGGGTGAAGTGTCAGTTGTGTGTCCAAAATACACCAACTACATTCCTTTGCTTGGACAAGAAGAATGGGTGACGCTGATCACTTTGATCACGAAGACACGTGAATACACTCTCCCTCCCTCCCCCGCAAAGAACAGGAAAGGAGCTGGGCTGTCATGCTAAAGGGGGCACCAGGCTGTGGGTGACCCAGTGGAGGAGGATGCATTCCAGAAGCAGGCCAGCGCAACCTCGCCAAGGCCAGGCTGGGCCTCCGGCACCCTTGCCTCAGGTCTCTGGGGGTTTCCGGCTGGAACAGGACCTGGGGAGACTCTGCTCCCTTTCCACCTGTGCCAGGGCCCGCTGCGCCATGATCCCCAGGTCCCCAGGGACTGTCCTGGTCCTCCCTTCCCTCTTCGCTGTTCTTGTGAGGCCCTGGTGGGCACGGGGGGGCCCGAAAAACCCCCTCACCCCAGCTCACATGCCCAGCCACCCACGTTCCAGTGCAAACTGCTTCTGCTCTGCCACAAAGCAGCTTTGAGGCCTGGGGACACGGAGGCCCGGGGACACGGAGGCCGGGGACACGGAGGCCAGGGACATGGACCTGCCTTGGTGGCGGGGACACTGCTCTGCTTGACTCGAGCAGCAGGTCCCCAGATTCCAGAGGCTGCACTGAGATTTTACCCCTAGCCAGGAGCCAGGCGTCTCAGACACAAAGTGTGGACTCTGTGTCCCCCAACCCACTCGCCCTCCCCCTTAGGAAACAGAGCTAAGGCTCCTCGGGGACTGGAGAGCGGATCCCCGGAAGGCCTGAATGAACACCGTGGGCGATGGGATGGGTTGATGGGAGCTCCGAGGAGGGGTGGCCTGTGAGTGGGGCAGGACGTGGGTGGCCGTGTGTGTGTGTGTGTGTGTGTGTGTGTGTGTGTGTGTGTGTGTGAAGGACAGGCCACAGCCACAGCCACAGCCGCAGCTCAGAGGCGCCGCAGCGAGCTCCAGCCCTGATGGCATCTGCACACCCCAGGCAGCTGACTTCCTGTCCCAGCCCAGCCCAGCCCAGCCCAGCACTCCTCCCTGCGGGGCTGGGGCCAGATCAGCAGACCCGCAGAGCTCCTCTCCCCCTCTCCCTCCCTCCTCCCATCCTTCCTCTCTCTCCCTCCCTCCTTCTCTCTCTTTCTTTCTCCTTTCCCTCCCTCCCTTCCTCCTTCTTTCCCTCCCTCCCTCCTTCCTTCCTTCCTCTTCCTTCCCCTCCCTCCCACCCTTCCTTTCTTCCTTTCTTTTTCTTTCTTTCCTTCTTTCCCCTTTCCCTCCTCCCTCCCTCCTTCTTTCCCTCCCTCTCCCTCCCTCCTTTCTTTTTCCCTTCCCCTTCCTTCCTTCCTTCCTTCCTTCCTTCCTTTCTTCCTTCCTTTCCTTCCTTCCTTTCTTCCTCCTTCCTTCCTTCCTCTTTCTGTTACTGACTTTTTTTTTTTTTGGTCAGTTGTGGGGCCTGAACTCTGGGCCTGGGTGCTGTCCTTCAGCTCTTCAATTCAAGGCTAGTGCTCTACCACTTGAACCATAGCGCCACCTTTGGCTTTTTCTGTTTATGTGGTGCTGAGGAATCAAACTCAGTGCATACAAGACAAGCACTCTACCACTGAGCCACCTTCCCAGCCCTTCCTTCCTTCCTCTTTCTTAACCCCTCTTTCTCTCTTTCCTTCTTTCTTCCCTTTCCTTCCTTCCTTCCTTCCTTCCTTTCCTTCCCTCCCTCCCTCCTTCGCTTCTTCCTTCCTTCCTATCTTCCCTTCTCCTTCCTTCCTTCCTTCTTTCCTCCCTCCTTCTTTCCCTCCCTCCCTCCCTCCCACCCTTCTTTCTTTCTTTCCTTCCTTCCTTCCTCTCTCTTACCCCCTTTCTTTCTTTCTCTCTCTCTTTCTTTCTTTCTTCTTCTTTCCCTCCCTCTCCCCCCCCCCCCCGCCCCCGTGTGGGTGTGCCTGGCTACAGACTGCTTATTTTTAATCCAGCCGTTTGCCCAGGGCTCACCTGAGAGCGCTTTCAGATTCCCAGGAATGACTGTGTGTTTGTGGGGGGGCAAATCCGCGTCACACCTGTTTGTCTTTTGGGGAAGCTCCGCAGGCCTAATATTTGCTTTGTGGGCTGAGGCCTCGCAAGACGGGCTGTTCTGCTCAGGGTCTGGAGCCCAGGGCTGAGTCACTGAGGCTGGGAGCTGCCGGCAGCCTCCATAGGCAGGAACTTTAAATGACAGCACAGACTCCAGCTCCCTGTGGTGCGGGCTGGGGCATCCTCTGGGCTTGGGTCCAGGAAGGGGGAGCCCCAGGAATTCTAGGTGCTTCCAGGAAAGGGAGAGGCGTTCCCACCAAGGTTCATTTATATAAAAAAATAACAGCTGGGCCCCGGTAGCTCATGCCTGTCAGTCATCCTAGCTACTCAGGGGGCTGAGATCTGAGGATCGCAGTTCAAAGCCAGCCTGGGCAGGAAAGTCCATGAGACTCTTATCTTCAATAAACCATTCAGAAAACCGGAAGTGGTGCTCCAGTGGTAGAGCGCTCGCTTTGAGCTGAAGAGCTGAGGGACAGTGCCCAAGCCCAGAGTTCAAGCCCATGACTGAAAAAACAACAAAACATCAAAACAACAACAACAACAAGCAGCATGGGATGGCCTTTCCTGTACTTAAAACACTTTTCAGATCCCAAGCCGCACAGTGGGACGTGGAGCACCTGGAAGGGGAGAGGCTTCCGAGCCCCAGCTCAGACCGTGGGGCGTGGCAGGGGACGGAGGAGCGCCACGAAAATATCACAGGGACACAACAATCTACAAACCAAACAACCAGCGCTGTGCTATAAACAAGCTTTCAAAGAGAGAGAGGGATGCGAGGAAGGAGTCTACAGTTCAAAAAAAAAACTTAATAGACACGCCAGCCTGAGCCAGGCACGGAGGGCAGTCCTTAATCCTGGGGAGGAGAAACCTGAAATCCAGCCTCACCCGGGCTCAGAGAGAAGGAAACAGTAACTAAGCAAAAGGTCTAGACCTTGGCTGGGGATGTGTGGGGAAATTTGAACACGGATCAAACGTTTGAAGTAAGGAATTACTGTTAATTACTTTGGATGTAATAAAGCATTTTGCAGGCTGGGCACCAGTAGTCAACCCTGTAATCCCAGCCACTCAGGGGGCTGAGAATGGGAGGATCACAGTTTGAGGCTAGCTCTGGCAGGATGTTACACGACTTCTTTTCAACCTGCTGTGGGCCTGGCCTGTGCCTGTGGTCTTGAGCCCCACGGAGGCTGAGATTGGGGTGACCATTCCAGGACGGCCTGGGCAGACAGGGCCGAGGGACTCCACCGTGTGGACAGAGGCTGGACATGGTGGCTCTGGCCTGTCACCCAGAAGCCATGGGAAGCCTCAGAGAGGAAGATCACAGGCCAGGGCCATGCCTGGGTAGAACCCGGGACCCTAGATTCGAGACAGCCTGTGGGAAGTGTGGCTCCGCTGTAGAGTGTCCGCCTAACAAAGGGCAGGCGCTGAGTCCAAGCCAGGTACTGCCCATCGGAAGCCTCATGGGTAAGAGAGATGCGGGGTGGTGACCCCCACAGCAGCTCGCACCCCGGGGCGTCCTCCGTGAACAGGGGTGAAACAGCCTCATGTCACAGGATTGAGTAGTGGTGGGTGGCGTGAACTCCGCTGGTACAGCGCGGACCTGTGCCAGGCGCCGGCGACGCGTGGTCCCCAGGGCTCCAACGTCCTGAGGCTGAATGAGGAACTGGCATGGTGTTCCCTAGACGCTGCGGGGCCGGGGGGACGGGAGACAGCCACGTCCCAGCAGGGGTGGGGTCTCTTTGGGGTGGGGCTCGGGAGGGTCCGCGGAGGATGTGCAGTCAGGGATTCTGAGCGGGGGTGTGACACGACCTGCTTCTTTTTTTTGTCTGTCATGGGGCTTGAACTCTGGGCCTGGGCGCTGTCCCTCAGCTCTTCAGCTCAAGGGTGGTGCTCTGCCACTTGAGCCACGGCGCCACTTCCAGTTTTCGGGTGGTTCATTGGAGGTGAGACTTTCACGGACTTTCCTATCCGGGCTGGCTTTAAACCATGATCCTCAGATCTCAGCCTCCTGGGTAGCTGGGATGACAGGTGTGAGCCACCAGTGCCCCACTGGTTCTGATTTTGATCAGGTGATGCTGGGGTAGGGAGGGTGCGGGGGTGGGGGGGAGTGGGGACAGCCAGCACGGGTGTCCTCTGTGTCACTGAGGGATGCGAGTGGGCCTGACCTGGGCTGGCACTGAGGGGCGGCGGGCAGCAGCTGTGCTGGGCACATTCCCAGGTGCGCTGACTCAGTGTGGGAGGACAGCCGGAACCCTGCGTGCGTGACCTCAGCAGCCAGGACGATGCTCGCAAGGGTGCGGACGAGGCGCCTGACAGAGGGCCGGGCACGCACCCGCGGCCGGAGTCAGCCGATCTAAGGTGAAGCCCGCTCCTGGACGCCAGCTGTCCCACCGCCTTGGAGCCAGGGGCCACGAGGCACCATCGCTACCAAGGCCAAGAGAAATCCATCTGCACACGAAGGGCCCCCATGGGAGGTGCAGGCCGCGGAGCGGCCAGTGCTGCTCACACTCCTGGGGGACGCTGGCCCCCAAGGTAGAGGGTGGCAAGGACAAGGGCCTGGGGGCCAGCCTCAGCACTTCCAACAAAACAAAACCAAACCAAACCCAGCAATGCGCAACATCCACAGAGCCTAGCAAAGCCCAAATTCCTGGAGGCGATGAGGTCACTGGGCACGGGATGACCGCTCCCGGGGTGAAGACAGAAGCTGGCCCGGGGCGCAGGGCGCAGGGCGCAGGGCGCAGGGCCTGCCCTGAGCAAATACGTTTGAAGGTGAGGAAGGTCATTCAGAGGAGACCGAGAAGGATGGACTCAAATCGAGCAATGAGTGCTGAGTTAGGCCTGTGAACGCGATGAGATGCCGCTGGTCATCTTTTTTTTTTTTTTTAAGAGCAAAATGAAAGGAACCCTCCTTCTTTTTCACTCAATAGTGCCTCGAGAGCTGCTCAAGTCAACGTCTTCCCAATGGCACCGTTCCTAACGGGCGCTGCAGTAAGCAACCCAACGCTACCCTTGCTTTCATCAAAGCCCGCTCTTTCCGTCCTCACCACGGTGGAGTACCCGACACGCCCAGCCGGCAGACTTGGCTTTCGGTGGCTGTCCTGGCACGTGACTGTCCGCACAGTCTCAGGGCTCACCCACAGCGAGACTCAACACGGGACGGGGCAGGGGTGGGAAGAAGCTAGTTCTGTCCCAAATCGCTTTCCAAAGCCAACCCCCTTAGCATCCGAACCAAGCATGTCTTTTTCCTGAGGCCCGGTGTCCTGAGCGGTCAGGCCGGGCCTGTCCCCTGTCCTGGGAGCAGTTCGCTCCCCGATCCTCAGTGCAGGCTCGGGTCACTCCAGGGCTGGGGCAAGGTACTGTGCTCCCCAATCCCCTTCCTGAGAGCCCCTCGCCGCTCCTTGCCAGGCTGGACCAGGCTGCACACCAAGGGTCACGTCTTTTGGAGTGTGTGTGTGTGCTGGTACTGAGGCTTGAACTCAGGGCCTTGAGCTCTTATTTGGCCTTTGGGCTCAAGGCTGGTGCTCTGCCACTTAAGCCATTCCTCCACTTCTGGCTTTTTGCTGCTCCACTGGAGATGAGACTATCTCAAATCTGAATGTCTATGTTGGCTTTGAACCTCAATCTCTGATTCTCAAATCTCAGCCTCCTGAGTAGCTGGGGTTACAGGTGTGAGCCTGTGAGGCTCCCTGCAGAATCCGGAGTCTTTGTATCATCATTCAATTCTACCCTTTTAGAGCATCGGTTTTGTCTGCTCTGGGAAATATGTAAGTAATGTTTTCTGACCTAGGAACTCATATGTCTGTCTGCCCGTCTGTCTCATGACCTCATTTTTTGTTCCTGGAGTCAGGCCAGACTTGCAAACAGGCTTCTCTTGGGTGGAGGCAGCTGAACCTACAGTGGCAGGTGTAACAGGACAGTGGACAAGACCCAGAGTAACAGAAACAAGAAGAACCAGGAACCGCTTTCTGTTTCGGGGACTCTCCACCTCCCGCAGTGCAGCCAGCTGGAACTGTGTTCACCCACCTGCAGGCCGCTGTGGCTTTGCACCTGACCAGACAGGCCTCTAGTGCAGTCCTTTATGACACAAACATAGGAGCACAACCTCTTCCCCCCTGAGGGCCCTTGAGGCCTTTCGGGAGCCCCTCTCTAATCCCTCAGCCTCCAGCAGACACCACAGAGCGGCCTGCTACAGCGCCCCCTGCTGGCTCCTGGCGGAGCCCAGGACAGGCTAACCCACCAGGAGGGTGGTGTCTCTCCTCTGCCATTGAAAGGAAAAAAGGAAAGACAGGAAATGGATGGAAACTGGGTTCCCAAGACACAAGTTTCTCTTGGGTGACTCAGATGGCAAATCTCTTTGTAACAGAAAGACAGATCGTAAGACGCATGGCTGATGGGCTCAGATGTGAGGAAGAGGCCACAAGCCAAGGAATTCAGACAACTGGGAGAGACCAGGAAGTATATTCTCCCTGGGGCTGGCAGGCTGAGCCCGCCCTGGGGCTGTCCTGACTTTAGCTCCGCAGACGGCCAGAGTTGTGAGGGAGAGACTTGTGTTTCTTAGGTTATAAATTTATAGTTTACCTTATGGAGAGAGAGCAGTCCCTGGAATGAACACCAAGACCACCAGTGCTGTGTTCTGTGCTCCAGAGAATGTTCTACACCCACTGTTAGCATAACCCTGCTGTTAGTGTGGGCCCGCTGCTTGTGTACAGCCACGGCTCGTGTACACTTGCTGTTCATGTACATCCACTGTTTGGGTACACCTGTTTGTGTATAGCTGCTGTTCATGTCTGCTCATGTACGCCTGTTGTTAGTGTGGGCCCACTGCTTGTGTACAGCCACGGCTCGCGTGCGGCCACTGTGCGTGGACACCTGACACCAGCACGTCTGAAACCACGCCTGCTCCTGCTCCAGGAGAGCTGACCTCAACGCTCTCTGCTCAGTGATTCAAGCCGTGACCTTGGAGTCACCTTTAACACCTCCCTTTCTGGAGACCCCACATCCAATCCCTGGGCAAAGCAAACATGCTGGTGCCGCCTTCTGCGCCCACCGACCATATCTCTGTAGCTCACTGCCAGCCGGGACTCAGAGGAGGACCCTTGGCCTCCATCCCCCCCGTGTGCCTCAGGTCTCAGATCTCCTCTCCGCCTCTTGCTCACTCTGCTCCTGTTATGCCAGGTGCCCCCCTGTACACGAGGCTGGGGTCCCCCTGGGGGAGGGAGCCCCTCCTGCTGTCCCAGTGGCAAGACGGGAAGAATGGGAATGGAAGCTTAGCAACAGGTGGCTCTTTTTAATCCTCAGGGTAGAGCCGCTCCCTAGACCACGGTTTCCTGTTCACGCCTTTCCCCACCTCTGCCCCACACCCACCCCTGGCCCCCGAGGAGCGGACACGGCCACTCAGCCCTACGAGAACCGGAGCTCCACGGCTCAGGCCCACACTCACTCCAGCCTTTCTTCTTCTCTCCTTCTGAGGTCGAAGTCCCGCTGAACCACCGCCCAGATGTGCGCTGCCTCCTCATCCGTGAGCTTGGAAAGGTCCAGTTTCTTCCCCATTGCCGCTTCTCCTCTGGTTCTTACCTAGAAAACCACAAGGTCACAGCAGGTCAGCCCAAGAAGCCTATGGATGCTGGCCAGGCCACACAAAGAGGCAGCACTGAGCCTGCCAGTCCCTTAGCTCCTCCGTGCACTGGGCAGAATCCCCTCCCTTCTTCCCTCCCTCCTTCTACCTTCCCTCCCTCCTTCCCTCCCTCCTTCTTCCTTCCCTCCCTTCCTCCTCCCTCCCGCCCACCGTTCCTTCCTTCCTCACTCCCACCCCTCCACCTTCTTTTTGTTTTGTGCCAGTACTGGGGCTTGAACTCAGGGCCTGGGTCCCATGCCTTCAGCTTTGTCACTCAAGGCTAGGGGTCCATCAATTGAACCACAGCTCTACTTCTAGCTTTTTTTCTGGGTAATTGGAGATGAGTCTCACAAATCTTCCTGCCTGGGCTGGCTTTGAACTATAATCCTCAGATCACAACTTTCTGAGTAGCTAGGATTACAGGTGTGAGCCACTGGTGCCTGACTGTTTTCTGAACAGGCCAAGGGTTGACTGGAAGTTGGCATCATTTAGTAAGTCTTGTGCACTTTTAGCTCATTTAAATGAGTCCATGTGTAAACTATTCACACTAGATTTCACAGGGGAAGCATCTCAAACTTCCTACCCTGGGTAACATGCATGCACACACACACGTGCATACACATGCACACACAAGCACGCACACACATCCACTCATGCACACATACACAGTCACTTTCATTCTGTTTCCTTTAAGAGACCAATGACAAAGATCCCTTTCCCACTCTTTCCTTGAGTTCAAATCCCAGTGCTGCTGAAAAGCTGTACCAACCGAACAAAGTAAAAACTCACCCCAAACCAAACCAACCAAACCACACCATTCCCATCTGCTCCAAAAGGCCAGCCTTGTGGGGTTCAGAGTTCCAAGGCCCTGTGTGAACTTAAATCTTGCAGACCTAACCTTTTTCAAGTATAGTCGAGCCTGCTTGGTGTGTGTGTGTGTGTGGGGTGGCCTGGCATCATCTTTGAGCACTGAGGCGCTCCAGCCTCAGAGCCACTGAGCAATCAATCGGATGCACTTGGCAAACCTGAAGAGCCGCATTTGTTAGAAACAAGCGAGGGGGTTTCCCAGTCCAGACGGACACCCTGCAAAATGAACATCTCCCAGAGCCCGCGGCTGGCCACAAAAACATTCCCCACACATGTCTTGTGTTAACATGGGCGAAAAACAACTTCTCAAAACTGTCTGCCCCCATCTGCCCACTCCCAAGCCCAAGGGTGAATATGGCTTTGGCAGTCACCCCTACTTCCAGAGGGCAAGAAGCACCCCAAGGGAAAACACACCCCCTAGGACATGTGACGTCTGGTTTCTAGAAAACAAGCAGTTCTCCTCTGAGGATGACTGGGCTCATTCATTTTTGTTTTCCATTCCTCTGGGAAAGCAGAAGGATCACGAGGCGCGCAGTGATGGGCGTCTGTTTGCAGGAGCGGCTTGGGACCCGCAGCCAGGCTCTCGTGACTCCGCTGATGTGGAAGCCAGAACTCCAGGCCTCCACGAAGCCTCCTCAGGTGTGAGGGGGCAGAATGCAGGGCTGGGACGGGGGAGAGGCCACGGAGAGGGGCACAGCACCCCCACCTGGCTGGGAAACCCCATCCTGGAGGTCCTGGGGGTCTCAAGTTCAAGGATGGTCTTATGCACCAAGAAATGATGCAGGGAAAGGGGTTCTTGGGGTGGAGAACACACGGCATCCCCACAGCTAAGCCAAGAACGTCCCGCCCCCCCCCCCCGTGGGTGAGGGCAGAGCTACACTGTCCGCTCGCTTTGTCTGGTCCTCCCACAGACAGCTCCCGGTCACCGTGCACCTGAGCCCAAGCCCACGCCCAGCGGGCGCCTCGTCGGGCTCACACTGGGGACCTTTTCTCTCTTTGTCTGATGGTCTTTAGAGAGAGCAGGGAGGAGCCCGAGGCTGGGTGGAGAGGACGCTGGCCTCCCGGAGAGGCAGCCCAGACCCAGACCCCAGAAGGTCAAGGGCGCATCGGCCTCACCTTTTCTGCATTTGCATTGATAGTTTGGCCAAGCTGAAGGGAAAGCAGGTGAGGCTCATTCCCATCTCCCCCAACCCCGGCTCCTCAGGACAGCAGCCCGTGTGGGATCCCCACCTACCGAGCAAGCGGAAAGGGGTGTGCAGGCCGGACACTGGCCGGCGGCTGCGGGACGCCCTCTGACTCAGGGCAGGCGTGTGCCGGGCAGTGTTCTGCTGATGGGTGGGGCAGCGGTGCCACCGTGCCCTGGGTGGTGCCCTCCCCCCTCCCCCTGGAGCTGACAAACAAACCCTGCCTCGGCGATCTGGCGCGGTGGCGTGGCTGCTCTGTGCACACAGCTGGAGCCTTGGCTGCCATCAACAGCAGATGGGCGTCTGTCCAGCCAGGGGCGCCGTCCCTGCCCACAGCAGGGCACCACAGAGCTGTGCCACTGAACCATCCTCGGCCACTGCCCGCGCCACGGGCTCCGGCCGGCACCTAACGCCTCCGCTCCAGCTTGCGGCTGCACAGAGGGGAGAGCTGGGCTCGCGTTCAGTCGGCCACAGCCAGCCCAGCACCTGGGACAGGGGCCCCTCCTCTCAGTGTCTCAGTTTCCCCATCTGTCCTGCAGACAGGGGTTGGGCTCCGTGAGCTCTCCGGTAACCCAGTGCAATGCTGGATGACGGGAGGAAGAGGTGTGGTGGAAGGGGTGGTGGGTCTCACTGGGAAGTGTGTGTATGTGTGTGCATGGGTGGGTATACGAGTGCTCCTGGGGTTTGAACTCAGGAAATCATGCATCAAGGTATGCCCTCTGCCACTTGAACCATATCCTAGCCCTTTTGACATAGCTATTTTTTTCAGGTAGGGTCTCTTGCTTTACCCCTGAGGCCAGCCTCGGACCCTTGTCCTGCTTACCACCTGCCACAGGGTTGATCTCACAGGCTTGTGCCACCAGGCTTGGCTTATGGATTGAGATGGGGGCTACTTCACTTTTTAGCAGGGACTGGTCTCAAACAGCAATATTCCTCATCTCTGCCCTTTGAGTGGTTGGTGTTATAGGCATGAGCCGGTCAGTCCTCTGGGGCTTGAACTCTGGGCCTGGGTGCTGTCCCTGAGCTTCTTTTGCTCAAGGCTGGTGCCTTACCACTTGAGCCACAGCACCATTTCCAGCGTTTTTTTTTTTTTTGAGTAGTTTATTGGAAATACGAGTCTCACAGACTCTCCTGCCCAGCCTGGCTTTGAACCATGATCCTCAAATCTCAGCCTCCTGAGCAGCTAGAATGACAGGTGTGAGACTCTGGCACCTGGCTGGGTTTATTTTTTTTAACACAAGAACAAGACAGCCCCAAAGGCTGCCAGCCATTCTGATCCGGGCACGTCTGGACCTCCCTGATGCATTCACCGAGGGGCACTGAAGGGTGCCGTTAACTTACAGTCTCTGGGACCTCTGAACCCCGCTCTGTGCCCTCAGTCAGTGGCTTTGTAATGCCTTAATCAGCAAGGCCCATTAACGTGTGTGTGTGTGTGTGTGTGCGCACACGCGTGTGCCTGGCATCATCTGTTCTCAGTCAGTCAATGCCATGAGGCACCTGCCATTGTCCCTGTCTCCTGGACAGGACACTGGGGCTGGGTGGGGGTGGGGAACAGCTCATATCCCAAGCAGGTTCCATGGTAGGAACGAGGCCTGGGAGCCGGGGGACAGACATGCGCCTGCAGGGCAGCGGTGAGCGGGTGGGGCGACGGTGTCACCCTCACTGCCGGGGTCTGCAGCCTGACCTTCCCCCTGACTCCTGTCCTGGCTGCGCCTACTGGGCGGGGGCCTTGACCTTCATCATCCCTACCCCCAGGAAGCAGCGTGGGCCAGAGGACCACTGGGGATGAAGGGCACAGGTGCCTTCGGGTGGAAGCCGGGGCAGGCTGGCTCTAGTTCAGTGGGCTGGAGATCGGTGTCTAGGCCGGCCACATTTTGGGGTTCACAGTCAGCTTCCATTGGGACTGGAGGCCCTTGCCCACAGACCC